ATTATTATTAATATTTAATAAATTACATAAATTAACCAAAATATAAAAAAAACATATGAAAATAATATTTTGAGTGAAAGTTTAAAAATGATAAAATACAATAAATAAAATATAAAGAATGAACAAAATGTAAAGATGGAACAAATGGTAGTTTCGTAACACATACAACTATTTTAGCATAATGACATGATAAAATATTTGTATGCATTATGAAAGTAGCATTTATTCCACCTAACTATGCTAGAATATCTCAAGCATAAGCATAAGGTTTTCTTTGGGTAATCTTACATGGACTAATCCATAAGTTCTTGAAGACAACAGTTGGGAAAATCCCTAATGGTAATAAGACTATGGCTATTTGGTTGGTTTTCTATTAAGTCCTCTATGGATAAAGCTATATGTGTAGATTAATCTTTCTGTATAGATTGAGAAGGTTTATGTTTGAAAGAGATTATGTTCAAAAGAAAAAAAAAAACTTGATTTTCTACATAAAAGCTTAATGAATAAATCACTTTCTATATCGTTAATTCACTAGCAAACAATCATGTATAGCTGACCGGATAAGCTCTGAGTCTCATTAAACTCATTAAGTTGCTAACAAACCGGCCATGATTGCTTTTTCCAAAAAGAACCCGGCCATGATTGGCATAAGCATAAGTTATAGCATGCACCTATAGCATTTTGTTCCACAAACACAATAATTTCTTGAACAACTTACCCTATTTCGCTCATCGGCATCAAGCCACCATCAAGGTGTTTCAATGATGATAAACGAAGATACAGTAAAGGTTACTTCTGTCATTAGACACACAGCATACTCGATCAAGTAGTTAATTGCATATAATATACCAAAGGGAGTAAGGGACTCAAGTTACAGTCAAAGGTACTTTAAATTCTAGAACATAAACTTTAAGCAACTAGCAACAAGTCCAGGAAAACAACAGCATGCAAATTATACATGTGAGATGAAGAGTAATTGGTTAGCCAGTCTATTTTTCATGTGCATTATATTGCATTCTTTAGAAAGTTGGATTGTCCTCTTCTTCATATCATATCAGTTTGGATCTCATCTGTCATTTGATATATTCCTTCTAGTTCTTGTCTTGATGGTGACTCCCTACCTTCAGTTTAATAAGCTACGACATGGCTTCTACGTATAGGGCACGTCTGACAACGATAAGCTAGCTTATTTTTTAAGCTTATTGTAAAAACCTTTTTTGGTTTGCTATAGCTAACTTTAAGGGTGTTCTTCGGTTGAATTTCAACGGATTTGAGTGGATCCGGTCCGATTCGATCTAATTAACATTGGACAACTTATCCAATCCCATGGATGATTGGATCATATAGGTTTCGTCCATTAGATATCACTATAGGTTATTCATTTGATTAGATTGGATTCATTCAATATTTTGATCCAATTTTCAACTAATCAATCCAACGTTTCAACCAATTATTGAAATATTTTCCTAATTTCTTAAAAAATATTTATACAAATATAAGCTAAAATCTATATGGTAAAATATTATTAATTGTGTATATTTCTTAATTGGATGGTAAACACATTGGATCGGTTCAGTTTTATTGGATTATGGATTCATTCAAGAGCCCACCAGTCCAATTTGGATGTTGAAGTTTTGGATCGGATCCGATCCAATTACCATTGGATATCTAATTATGATCAGTCGGTTCTAATTGGATTCCAATTGACTTTCTGCACCTCTAGCTAACTTATTAAAATGCTAGTTTCAATAAGCTCCTGGTGGCCTTTTTCCAGTTATACCTCTAATATTTATCCGGTTAATTTTCAGCATGTAATTGGGTCATTTTACATTGTCATCTAGCTTATCAGCTAACTTTTACCTCACATAACTAGTTTATCAACTAGCTTACCAACGAGATGACTTTTGCAAAGAATAGGTAATTCATTTGCGTTTGGGAATGAGACAATGGATCAACTACGACACATTATTTATGTCACTTTTTTTATTTATTTTAAAACATAAACTCGACGGTTCTTATATCAACTTCAGCTGTCGAGTACTAATTTTAACCACTTAATCCTACTAACATATCTGGATATTTGTCTTCCACATAGAAGGAAGAGAGATTGCTCCCAAGAGGCTTTTGTTCAACAACAAATTCAGAGTAACAGGTTTCCATAATGATCAGCAGTGTTGAACACAAAAACCTGGTCAGGCTGTTAGGATGCAGCTGCTCAGGAACTGTTTGGTGTTTTGGTCTCACAAATGCTTCTTCAAAACAAGCAATCAAATGAATGCAATCTGATTCTACTTGCATGGAAGCATTTTCAGCAAGGTACAGTTGAGGAAATCCTTGATCCAAACTTGGGGCATGTTTGGTTAAGCAGAATGTGTTAGAGGTATTTTGGATTTTGTGGACGAATATGGAATTGGAGGGATTGAGAATCCTAAGGATTTGAAATATTTAGTATGTTTGGTTTGTAGGATTTGGGATGGAATTGAATTCCATTATTTTATAAATCTTTTTCGGTTTGTAGGATTTAGAATGAATTTTATTTTTTTTTGTAAAATATTTGTTTGTGCTATAAATAATTTGTTTATTTCGGTAAGATGTAGAGGCAATGGAAAGATTATGGCAGGTATAGAGATGCTATGGAAATTATTGAAATCCTAGGGATTTGGATATAAAATGACGGTCATCTCCAAGGATTTCAAAATCTATGGTGTGGGATTTCAAATTCAAACTTTCTTTCAAACTATACAACGGACTGGAAGGGAAATTAATTCCAAATCCTACAAACCAAATGAGCCCTAAATGTTTCACATATTAAACAGATTCACCAAAAAATTAAACAAGGAAAACTTAAAATCTCTTGATTGGATGTTGCTAGACTATTCGATCAACAAAGAAAATCAGGAAGACACTGGAAACGAAAATGCTAAATCTTCAATGCCTATGGATTGATTTATACCAAGAAAGGTTATTTCATGGAAACAGATTCACCAAAAACAAGTAAAACTTCAAATCCCTCGATTGGATGTAGCTAAATTATGCAATTAACAAAAGGAAATCAAGAAGACGATGAAAACGAAAATGTTATATCCAAGGATTTAGAAAGCGGAATCGGGCCTCGAGGCGTTTTCCATCCACGCCTTGAGGCGTAGGTTTCATTCGGTTCACTTGAGGCGGCGCCTCATATTCGGAATCCCACTGCCTCGCCTCGAGGAAAACGATTTTGAAAACCATGGTTATATCTGACATGATTTTATGAACAGTTTTACAACGTCGAAGGTTGATTTGTGAATTAGAATAAAAGCAGTGCTACTGCTGAATTGCTTATCTACTTCTAAAAATTGCTGGAACACTAGATGCAAAACTACCTGATCAGCAAATGGAATGTAGCTATAGTGAAGAGGAGGAAAGTTACTTATTTACTCATCATCTTCTTGAACTCTTCCTGTACAGGGGAGGGGGCTCATTAGCTGCGACTTCTGCTTCCAGATCATGGATTCGTCCTTCACACCATCTTACGGGGTATAGCAACCTGTAGGTCGCTTCATATATGAGGGATTCCACAAGCTGTGGCTTTGTCAACCACAGCACACTCCATGATAATCCTCTCGAGGTTTATTGTACTGAATACCCGTTGGACATTGAGAAACTCCTGAGCGTTTTGATGCCCAGGGAAATAGAGGTCAAAGAAAAAATCTTGTCGCACAAAGAAACTCCTCAATCTCCTAACAGAAAGCCGATAGGGACCAATGCCAGTGGCGCTGCCCCTAAGAACCCGCAAGGGCGTGACCCCCTTGACCTCCGCCATATGGCGCCATCTAACATCCCGGGTTCTAGTTAGCTTACACGAGTGTGCAATATACCCCTCCTAGCTCGTGGTATATCTTAACTAACAACCCCATATTCTCTTATGAACCCAATTACATAAAATGAACAGATGACTCTCACTATAATCACCAACAAAAATCCTAAAGGCGATTGTGAATGGGACCAATTTGTTAAACCATGTAAATATCATCTCTTGGAGTTTTCTCTTGCTGCAGTTTAGTGTGGTCTGAATCACCAATTCACATATTCAATGATATCGAATATCATGTGTTTTTTTCATAGGGAGTGAAACTAAGAGTTCTTCCATTCATCAACAGTTCGTCTCTCTTCCTTTTTTTCTCATTTACATCATTAAAAGAAAAAAATTCCCATCACATACATCAGATCAAGTTAGAAGTTTTCAATCAATTTCAAAGTTAGCAGGAAATACAAAAATAAACTAAGATTCACCAACATTACAAGTCATTGCAAGCAGACTTTCTCCCACATTTTGGAGGTCTTTCCTGACACTAATCCACTCACAAATGAAACAACCTCATTTACAAATGACAACAAAGCTAATAATTACTCACTCCATCCCAAAATAAATGTTCACTTTCTAAAGTGCCTACTTTCTAATTCTACCTTAATTATGAGATGAAGAAAGTCATTACTCCTATTATTATGGGTACAATTGTCATTTACTTAATTAAAACGTGTAATAATTACACATTTCTAAATCTGTGTGCATTTTCCATTGTAGATATTTATTTTGGGACAGGGGAAGTATACAGGATTGGTCGAATTTGAGGTGTCTCACGAGATGAATAGTGTTGGAGAAACAAGTAGGGCATATAGGATCCACCTACATAGTGCTTTTGGATAGATGCATCATGCATATGGGGATCAATAGTGTTTGAGAAAGATGTCTAACAACACAAGTAGGGACCATTGGTACCTCAAATACCATTTTCCCAATTATTAATACGATTATTTCAAAATATTTTGGATGCAGATGGAAACTCACATTTTACCTTAACAATTTAATTTTATAAACACCAAAACTAATATAAAATTTTCCAAAAGAATGGAAGGCTATACAATCAGATCATTGGACTTCCATGGAAAAATGTATTTGTTCTGTGTGATCTAGATATGAACCAACCACTAGAACAAACATTATTCATGAAGCAGACAGAAAAGAGAAGAAACATAAACATTGGTTAGAATTTAGGAACATAGACATCAGGAATAACAGATTGAAGTGGAGAGAGTTCAAAACAAGAGATGTACAAATATTTACATAGTTGTTTTTAATCATGCATGTAGGAAATCTTCAGAACGATATCTTGATAAATACCAATATGTGCAGGATGAGAATATAGAGCACGAAAGCCGACCTGAGCAGCACTTGCCTCTGCAGGGCCTCTGTTCGCCCACTTGTGGGCTTGTAACGAGGATCAACAATGTAATCAGATGAAAGATTTCCTTTATCAGAGTTACTTCTTCCAAACCTATTTCTGGCAGCATTTGCCTCTGCAGTGCTGGTTTCAACCTTCCTCCATAATCCATTTAGCCTATCTAGTTCCATCTCCTTTAAATGGATTTCACCCGCCAGACCTTCTGCTTGAGCCTAATATCAGAGATAAAGGCAAATTGGGAAAAACAATTATGACCAATTGTAATGGAAGAAACATTAACGACATTAATGCTTGGTATCAGAGCATAGGCTAAAGAAGTGGCACCTGCTTTGCAGCTAATTGTTCCAATAGGCTGTGAAGTTGTTTATCCAACATCTTCTCTCGCTGAGCTGTACAAAATTACATACCATATCCACAAGTTCGAAATCACCATGCCTTATTTGCCATAATACACACACACACACACATATCATGTGAAATATGTATGCACACTAAATATTATTTTGTTAGAAATAAAAGAGATCACTTCTTCTATTGGGTAAAATTTCAACTCAAATTTTCTTCTTGCTCTTTGGTAATCATTACAAAATATTGGAAACGTTGATTTTGTTCTACAATACTACTCTGCTTTTTTTTTTATTGAAAACACTTCTAGATGTTTGACTCATAAACACCCCCACTATTGTTGGGTGTTGAGTGTAAAACATACACAGACCTATCTATATCCCTATCTTTATTTGAAATAAACCTTGGCCACAATACACTGCTTCAACACCTTGAACTATAAGAAGCTTTAAAACCTACAATCCTATTCCGATTTATGCAAAAGCAAATAGAAGCTAAGGCAACATTATCAATAGAAAGACAATGACTGCTTAGTGCTTATGCACATTTTTCTCTTCTTTCTATTTTCAGTATCACCAAGTATAGAGACATGTAGTTTCAATTTGTGATCTTGTTCAAGGTTAATGCTGCACCCATCACTTCTGACAGACTCATGGGAGGAGGTAATATGAAAGAAACAAAAGATTAAAATAATACTAGTGCAGAGTAAAAAAATACCAAGTAATTGGTATGCAATATGCAAGATACCTGGAGAAGGCCGCTTTAGTGATTCTTCTTGAACCTTTGACCATTGTCTCTCTAAGTTTTCAACCAACTCTTCCATATAAGCCTACAAGATACACAAGCATACAATATTGACTTAAAATCAAGAATGAAGTAATATAAAAAAAGAAGATGATTAAAATAAGAGATGCAGAAGTAGAAAATAATCCAACAGACCAATTCCTTTTTCTTGTTCTCTAAGCTCTCCTGCAGGGAAGAAATTGAAGCTATGGTATGTGCTTCTGCTTCAGCTTTTGATTTAAGCGAAAGATCAGTTGAGTCGCCAGATTCATCATCATCTGGTGCAGATTGTTCATGTTGCAGCTCGGTTGTCAGAGTTGCATCAATTTCCTGCAAGGGAAGATTCATATAGGACAATCTAAACCATTTTAGAATATCATAAGTCTTAACAAGGTCAACCCATGAAACTTATGCAGAGCAGCGGAGGTAGAATAGTCTAAATAAATAGAACATTAGTACCAGTGTAGCAGCCAGGGGAAATATGTTATATCTTTTCAATTTTCACATCATTGTCTTCTTAATTTTTTTTCTAGGGATAAGTAAGAACATGCCTGAATTTACTTCTACTTAGCTACGAACACTAAACACTCACGATCTTCTCCCTTTTAAACTAAGTCAATAGGTAAGACATCTGTTGGCCGCAACAATTTAGGTCATAAGTTGAGAACTAAACAATTGTATTACATCTTTGAAAGAAATTTCAAAAATGTAGCAGCTATAGTAATATTATGAAAAAAGAAAGAAATCAAGCTCTTACCTCTAGCTTAGCACAAAGTTGATCTGCTTCACGCAACTTCTCTTGTATCTTACTCTCACACTCTGATATGGCATTTTCAAATGCAGCATTTTCTTTGTGCAAGGTAAGTTCTCGTAGTTGTGCCTGCCATAAGATGTCATGCCTGAAGGTCAGATTTAAGGCTGAAACTTGGTTAATACGTCCAATTCTTGCACATAGCTAAATTATGTACATGCTACCATGATAAACCCCAATATAAGCAACTCCAAGAAACACGGCTCTTAACCATTGTTAATGCACAATAGATCTAATTCATAAGTTTTTAATGGACTACTAACTGTTTGATCAAGTATATAAGTAGTAATCTTACCAAATTGCAGATTTTTCAGAAAATATGTAGTAATTGACTGATTGTAGATGCCAATTCTACGTCTAACACAATTACAGTGCAGATGATTTAGTAAATTCTAACTAGGTTTACTCGAACTCTGATTTAGTAAATCGTGTATGGATTCGATAAAGTGATGAAAATCAACATATGATCGAGGAAATACCTGTTCTTTGGTGGAAGAGTGAGCATTCAATTGGAGAGCTAAGGCAGCGTTTGAGGCGAGGGAATGTGCGTGGAGGTCAGGGAGGCGCTGAGAAATATCAGGTGGAGGTATTCTATTACGGAGATCTTGTACGGACCGGCTCAACGACGCTGCTTTTATGTCCAACTCCCTAACGTACTTCTCCTGTTCTGGATTGAATAGCAAGGGGATGGAATCAGACTCGTCTTCCTCGCTGGTTGCACCACCTCCGGCTCTCACTACGTCCGTCGCCCATGCCAGTAAGCCTGCCATATCTGCCGGATCAGATCTTGATCATTGGTCAATTTTCGCTCGCCGGCGGTTGAAGGTGAACAAAACGGGGCTGAAATCGGAGTGCGATTTACGTCTGGGTTCAATGGATCAGGCTCCATTGGGTACACAAAGTCCTTTTTTAGGCCCGATTAGCATTATTGAGCTTGGGCCAACCCACGTGAGAATTAGAGATTGGCTGATCGGGCCGAGCCTAAATCAGTTCCGTGATTTCCTCAAAGATTTTTCTTTTATAACCGGTTCCGGTCTCAATCAAAACATCCAGTCCATTCTCTATTTAAAAGCTCGGTCCCTAGAACTGGTCTCGATTTTGAGACCGGCCCAAATCGGTCACAACTTTTTAATTTTCCAAAAATCATTTTATAACACATAAAAAATTGTGTTTGAAGATTTCTTTTGACAATATTTTACTGAAATACAATTTAAAATATCTAATTGGACCATCAAATACACTTTTAAATATTTTTGCAACAAAACAAAGTTAAAGGAACATGGAGTTGTTAATGTTTCAAGAACGATAAAGAATCCCGTTGCCTTCATTATGTATCAAACGCGTTTACACATAATATTTTTAATATTATTATCAAATTCATAATCATTGTGAAACTATATCTTAAAATATAAATTCTTGCGACTCACTCCTATCTACAATAGCTCGGCATTTTAATTGAATATTTAATCAATTTCATACTCACACATTTTAAGGGTTGTTTGGCTGTTGCTGAATGATTTTGTGCAGAATGATTAAGTAGTCAGAATGATTAAGAGACTCACATTTTAGGGGTTATTTGGTCGTTGCTGAATGATTTTGTGCAAAATGATTAAGTAGTCAGAATGATTAAGAGACTCTCATAATATAGTGTAAAATGAAATATAATTGTTTGGTAATTATTTACAATGAAATTAGGGCGTTGAATGATCAGGGGAGGCTCATGATACAAAATCATTCACAAGGTTTTAGAATCATTAAGAGACTGACTTTTTTTACCAAACAAGATTCACTTCTTAATGGAACTATTAAGAGCTAAACAAACAACCATTTGGTATCAAGTCTTTTATTTTTCATATTTCTGATATATAATTTGACTTAACAAAGACTAGAAGGTTACTCGCACAATGCAACGAGATACATCTTGATTTTAATATTTCATTTTATTCTTTATTTTTGTCGATGTTATAGTATGGTCTTATATGATTTTGAAGAAACGATGATGTTTTTATTTTTGAATAAAATATATATTTGAAGATATCATAAAAATTTGACAAAAGTATATCGATAATAGTATCAAATTAACTATTTAAAATTCTTGTTTTTTGTGTAACTTTTTAATTCAAATTTTTTATAATTTATATTTGGTTTAATAATATAATTTACTTATAAAAGTAATAATCAATTGTTTTATTAGAACTCGCTAATTATGCTAATTATATTTTAGATTTTTTAGATTTTAAAATGAGATATTTATTCTCTATTTGATTATGTTTATCCGAAGTTAGTTATATACGAATTTAAACATGGAGCTTTAATAAGTTGTACTTATGCATAATTTACTTGTAATTTTGAATTTTAAGCAATATGCATCAATATACAGTACTTTATGCATAAAAAATAATTTTTAAAAGTTTTTATCAAATGCTTATAATATAGTATAGATTAACAACTTATACTAATTTACTATGTTATCTAATAGTCCAATTTCATAGGACAAAATGGTATTTCTTAGATTGAAGGCAAGATCACTTGAATTATAGGACACCAATCAAAGCATAGCAAAGACCCCACTTTTAATTATGCCTTCCTTCAAATATTCAACCTTGTTTACCTTTCATTCACAAGAAGTACCTTCAAATCCTCTTCATATTCAACATCAAACCCAAATTCAAAGAACCATATGTCCCTATCCCACCCCTCTTTACTTCTAATCCAATCTTCCCATCTCAAAGTTGTCCAAAATTTTTACTATTTTGGAAACCAATTGATCGAGTTTTACTGTACAGACAAGACAGTTACACCTGTATTCAACGATAAATATATCTTTTGAGGTATTCATTTTATATCAAGTTAGCAAGAACCTTCTTGTTATCCCTGTTGTTCTCTGATTGACAATCAATTGATCAAGTAAGACAATACATTCCAGATTAATTAACAGGTTGTTAGATCAAGAAAACAGTCTACTGATTCTTTAGATTATTTGATCCTTAGAAATTTTATCTTTCAATCTAATTTTCTGAAGTGAATTAATTTCCAATTAGTTTCCATTTGTTCAACCCCCCTTCAAGATGGTGTTCAAGAAAATTAGACGAAAAGTGGAGAGAATTGTTACCAAACCCTTTAGAAAACCTTCAAGAAGACCCTCTATAAAACCACCATCACCAAACCCTTCTCCATCTCCTCCACCTGAACCACCACTGGCCGCCATGTACCGTCGCCCCACCCACCCTTTCATGTTCCCGGAAGCGCAGTCCACCGTCCTCCCCGACCCCTCTACTTTCTTCTCCCCTAACCTTCTCTCATCCCCTCTCCCAACAAACTCTTTCTTCCAAAACTTTGTCCTCAAAAATGGCGATCAACCCGAATACATCCACCCGTATTTGATCAAATCATCGCCCTCCTCGCTTTCTGTATCGTACCCATCTCTCTTCTCCACCACTGCCTTCACATATCAAATCTTTAACGCGGATCTCACCATCTCCGCCGTGGATAACTCAGAACCGAGTCAAACCCACATCATATCTTCATTCAGTGATCTAAGTGTCACTTTGGATCTTCCACCCAGTTTAAGATTTTATCTGGTTCGGGGCAGCCCGTTTTTGACATGCCACGTCTTGCAACGTGTCGAAAAACTCTCCATTTCAACGATTCATGCGATTCTTGATTTTACTCCGAATTCCTCAAAAACCAAGTTCAAAATCAATCTCAACAACGGTCAAACATGGGTGTTGTATTCATCTTCCCCTATAGATTTAACTCATGAGATATCAAAGATTTCATCTGCAACGTTTTCAGGTATAATCCGTATTGCCATATTACCGAATTCAGACTCCAAACTCGAACCAGTTCTTGATCAATTCAGTTGCTGTTATCCGGTGTCGGGTGAGGCTGTGTTCACTTCACCATTTTGTGTTGAATACAAATGGGAAAAGAAAGGTTGGGGGGATTTGTTAATGTTAGCAAACCCTCTTCACCTTCAGCTTCTTGATCATAATTCTTCAACTAAAGTTCTTGATGACTTTAAATACAAAAGCATCGATGGCGATCTTGTGGGTGTAACTGGAGATTCATGGGTCTTAAAAACCGATCCAGTTTCTGTAACTTGGCATTCAATCAAAGGAATCAAAGAAGAAAGATACCCCGAAATCATCGATGCTATCGTGAAAGATGTAGATGGTTTGGATTCAACTTCCATATCGACAACATCTTCCTACTTTTTCGGAAAACTTGTGGCAAGAGCAGCTAGGTTAGCATTGATAGCTGAAGAAATTGGTTATGTTGATGTAATCCCAAAAGTTCAGAAGTATTTGAGGGAAACAATCGAGCCATGGTTGGATGGAACCTTTGTTGGAAATGGGTTTTTGTATGATAAATCTTGGGGTGGAATTATAACCGAACAAGGGTCCAAAGATTCAGGTGCAGATTTTGGATTTGGTATATATAATGATCATCATTATCATATTGGTTACTTTCTTTATGGGATCGCTGTTCTTGCGAAAATCGACCCTATCTGGGGAAGAAAGTACAGACCTCAAGCTTACGCTTTAATGGCGGATTTCATGACTTCGGGTAGAACTAAAAACTCGAAGTATACGAGATTAAGATGTTTCGATTTATGGAAGTTACATTCATGGGCTGGTGGTTTAACAGAATTTGCAGACGGTAGGAATCAAGAAAGCACAAGTGAAGCAGTGAATGCTTATTATTCAGCAGCTTTATTAGGGTTAGCTTATGGAGACACACAGCTTGTTTCAACCGGTTCATTACTAACAGCCATGGAGATCCATGGAGCTCAACAATGGTGGCATGTTAAAGAAGATGATACATATTACCCTCAAGACTTCACAACAGAAAACCGAATGGTGGGTGTTTTATGGGCGAACAAAAGAGACAGTGGGTTATGGTTTGCACCAGCGGAGTGGAAGGAATGTAGGGTGGGGATTCAAGTTCTGCCATTGTTGCCGATCACGGAGGTTTTGTTTTCAGATATGGGGTTTGTGAGGAAGGTGGTGGAGTGGAGTTTGCCGGCGTTGGAGAGGGAAGGTGTTGGTGAAGGGTGGAAAGGGTTTGTGTATGCTTTAGAAGGGGTTTATAAGAAGGAGATTGCTGTTGAAAAGATAAGGAGTTTGAAAGGGTTTGATGATGGGAATTCTCTGAGTAATTTGTTATGGTGGATTTTCAGTAGGGATGATGATGGTGGTGAAGAAGAAGGTTATGAAGGAGGAGGTAAGCATTGTTGGTTTCGTCATTATTGTCATTAATGTTCATAAATTCGTCATTATTGTCATTAATGGTTTGTGTATTAATTAATGTTTGTGGGTGTTTAAGTCATTGTTTATAAATAAAACTAGTTATATATTCTTATGAATTGATGAGTCTTGTATTTTTATTTGAAGGGAAAAAATGTTACGTTACATCAATCTCGACTCATAATGTCTGATTTATTTTTTAAACTTATTGAAAAAGTCTCTTTTAATTTTCGTAAGTTAATTTCATTTTGGTTTGTCGGCTAAACATGTCCTTAAAAAACACATATGTATCTTCTACGAACTCTAACTACCATAATTGTTGGATTATACCTAGTAGTCATAAAGAGTCGTGAAGAAAGACTCACCCCAACAACTTTTCACACCAAAAGCATTGAATAACCACTTTGCACGAATACTTTAACTTCGAAAATTATGAATCACAATCAATCTCAATAGTATTTCGTAACGACTGTTAATAAATAGAATTAAAAATTAATGGGTCGTTTATCAAACATTTACCCAATAAGCACTTATCGGGAAAATTCAATATTATTATTATTTACTTACCGTATAAGATTTTAGTTAACAAAAATGGCTTTTTATGCAACAATTTACCCGGTAAGAGTTGACTTTGGTAAGAGTCATTGTCCTCACTTACCGGGTAAGACTCTCGGTCATTGCCTCGTTCTTACCGGGTAAGATTTTTTGGTTCTTATCATATTCATCTAGTAATGTAATATAACTTGGTAAGTGTTTAATTACCCAGATAAGTATTTGGTAAACGACCTCTAAGATTAAAGAAACGAAAGGTTGAATTTATTAATTACAACAAATTAAATTACATAGTGTTACGTTATCTAAAACGAAAGACGTAAAAGCAATGCATTTTTCAGAAACAATTTCTATTTATCTGAGTAATGATTAATTTGGGATAGTTATAGTTGGAAATATTTAAACGTAACTTTCAAAAAGAAGGTAAGGAGAAAAGAAAATTTGTTACAAAAGTCGAGAATCAAGATACACTTTCGAGGAAACAATATGTAAATATTGTATGTTTTAGCGAATGATGTTTACGCCTTGTTTGTTTTTTCATTTTTAGTTATCACTTTTGTCCGATTCGTTCAGATGTTTTGTAATTCAGACTTGTTTTTTTCCAGAGTCTCTTATCACTTAATAATGACTTATTTCTCATAGTATGATTATTGTCACTAATATTCTTATATACCAACCTTTTCATGCATCATCAATCATGGTATACAAAATCGATATGATTAATATCTTGTAACAGTTATAGGAGACGAATAATACGTTAAACTTAAAATACTATATATATATATATATATATATATATATATATATATATATATATAG